ATTAAGAAACTGGATTTCATATGCAAGCTATAACGGTGCGGAGATATGGCGATAAGCCCGACACCAACTGCCGACGCGATGTTTCATGATCGGTTGCGAGGTTAATTAAATATCTACAGCTTTGGTGTTCGTCCAAATGTCTAAGAGGCTAATGTTAAACCGCCTCAGTCAAAGAAGGTTATCAGTGAATTTTTACAGGCGGTTGTACAGATCATTGTGCAATTAAGCCACATTACACTGAGTTGGTAAGTCTGCAGAATTCAGGCCACAGGCGAATCAGTGGCACTAGAAATGAGTTTGAATCGGAGCTACGATGTAAAGTAGTAAATGACTGTTTACAGAGGACATGACACAGTCACCCTATAGTTTGCGGTTTCTGGCAGAAAATATAAGTAGAGGGTCTATTAGGTCTATACGTATATGAAATGTGTACCGTAAAATAATATTTTAGTGCACTATACGCCCTGGGAGTCACCAACAATAAACCCCACCATCCGACGACGACCGTCATTTTGGCAAGGCCTCTATGACGTCACGTGCTGCATGGAGCGCCGCCTTAGCCTTCTACATAAAAAAAATTCTAATTTACCTTTAAAACAGTTACTGCTCTGAAATCATGCACAAAAAATAATAAAAAGCTTTCTTGGGAGGCTCCAACGCAGGACACAGAGATTGCTATAAGATCTCTATATCTTCGTCAGTATAAAGTTCGGATCAATAATGCCGTTATCTGCTATAGGATGATTTGCGTGGCACAGTTTCACGTACGATAGCGTCACAAGAAAGCAGCATAGGGCATCTTGGCTGGCGCTGGTAGAGCAACCCGCACCCTACATGCCTGTATTCGCTTCATTACACTAAAGATAATAAACAAAACCGAGACGTTGAAAAACGTTTTGATCATACAGGACCAACATGTACACTCCCCCCGATGTGGCCTGGTGCTTATGGCGCTCGACTGCTAAACCGAAGGTCACGAGTGCGAATCCCGGCTGTAGCGGCTGAATTTTATTGGAGGCGAAAACGTTTGAGGCCGGTGTGCATAGATTTAGGTGCAAGAGAACTCTGGTGGTCAGATCTTCCCGGAGTCCTCCACTACGGCACCTCTCATATGCGGCTGGGACGTTAAACCTCTGATATAAGTATGTTAGGACCAAAATCTACGTGTGAAAGAGAATCGTCGTGACGTGGCGTCATGAAACACAACGAGATACTATCTGGTTGCCAACGCTTTTAGTGTGATCGTGGTTCTCGGAGTATGGCTGCCATTATCAAACATCTCACTTGTGTATAAATCCCTGAGTGATTGCTTCTCGACAATTTACTTCCGAAAACTTCAGTCTTTAATGCGACTTCTTGTAAGTGGTTTTATGAGGTTTTATGTCTGCTTTCTACGACGACCTAATGTAACCAACAGGTAATGAAGCTAACGAACAATTAGTTGTACCATCGACGTCACAGATGTCCTCTTGCGTGGCATCATCTTGTTTCCTGGCGCTCCGTGAAAGCTGCCTGTGGACGCAACATGCTATTTAGTATTATGGCAGGCATCCTGCGCTCCTTGACGTCTTAGAACGAACTGTCTACCTAGTGACCGCAAGCACAGGCATGAGAACAAGGTTCAGAAACGAGATAGAGATCTTCAATTGGAGATATCCATCACGCTGTGTGCTATGGCAACAATGGGCGGCATCATCTGCGTCTTCATGAGCACAGGCCATGGAGAGGCTGAACCGCAGTCATGCACTTTCCATTTAAGATGAGCGATAAGGATAAGAAGAAAGAAGAAGAAAGAAGAAAGAAGAAGAAAGAAGAAAGAAGAAAGAAGAAAGAAGAAGAAGAAAGAAGAAGAAGAAGAAGAAGAAGAAAGAGAAGAAGAAGAAGAAGAAGAAGAAGAAGAAGAAGAGAAGAAGAAGAAGAAGAAGAAGAAGAAGAAGAAGAAGAAGAAGAAGAAGAAGAAGAAGAAGAAGAAGAAGAAGAAGAAGAAGAAGAAGAAGAAGAAGAAGAAGAAGAAGAAGAAGAAGAAGAAAGGGGAGAGGGGAATTACTGAGAAAAAAAGGGAAGGAGAGAAAGAGATACACATTGCCCATAACACATGCACCGCAAACTTTCGAAAAACTGTTCGTTGCAGAGAATGCGGGACTGTCAAACTTTTAAAATAACCTTGCACTGCAGTAGATCTACATTGTATTTTTCACAGTGCGATTCACAGCGCTTCATAAACACACGTTAGATATGAACACCACGTTGTTCCTGCGCCACCTGTGCAACGCTGTGCTGCATTCCTCGGCTCATTTCTTTAGCCACAAGTATCCGTACACTCTGCAGTATCACGTGTCGTAGTTAGCAACGTGCCACAGACGAAACAAATATACTGATAACGTATTTCGTTGTATGCATACAGGCAGCGGCCCGAGTGATGCTCTTTTAATTGATTGATTGATATGTGGGGTTTAACGTCCCCAAACCACCATATGATTATGAAAGACGCCGTAGTGGAGGGCTCCGGAAATTTTGACCACCAGGGGTTCTTTAACGTGCACCCAAATCTGAGCACACGGGCCTACAACATTTCCGCCTCCATCGGAAATGCAGCCGCCACAGCCGGGATTTGATCCCACGACCTGCGGGTCAGAAGCCCTAGCTTCTGACCTTAGCCACTAGACCACCGCAGCGGGGCGTACGCACAAACGACCACCGCGACTTAGTGAAGGCCGCCCGCCAAGGATGCTCTTTTACTTCACACTGTTTGGTTAGAATGTTTTGTGGCCTCTGTCTATCGCGCGTATTTAGTATTGTCGAGATATCTGAATTTTATGAGTGCTATTCGTGTGCGTTCACTGATGTATCTTTCTATAACATTGCACTCCTTCTTTCGCGTGCCGCGGAGGCGTGCATAACCACGCGTTAAATTGTGAGTGCGATGATCTCGCAAACAAACAGATCCATCTATACTTTACGGCTCCGTAACTATTCGCTACTTGTTCACAGCGCAAGCTGAACAAAGAAAGCAAAACAAAAATAAAAAAGTGCGGGGGAGGGGGCACAGGGGGTATGAAGCGAAGGGAAGACGCTTCGGTGCACACTGCCTTTTTAAGCTTGCAAAGAGGTGCCCCTTAAAATCTTTGCGGCGATCAAGTTTCGTGTGGCAGCACTGATTTACCGCGAAACCAAGCAGCAGCGTCTGTGGCGCTGTCTGCACGCGTGTATATAGCTGACGTAGATCAATAACGCTCTCTAGCGCACGTGAGACGTCGACCGTCTCATTTAAAATTTACCTATCGTAATAGATAGCTCAGCAAGTCTAGCTTATGTTGCAGACGAGTTACACAGAGTTACACAGAGAACTGAATTACACAGAGAAATCAGAACAAAGGTTGTTGAGCGCTTTTGCGCACGCTGGTCAGTTTCTGAACCATAGCATAGTGCAGATCTTAATGACGAAATGATGTTGGTCATCGTAAGGAACACTAACGAAAGTGGAAGCGCTCTCTGCGGGCCACGAATCGGACGCGTCCGTCCAAAGAGCGGGTAGTGCTTTTTGAACTGCCCAATGTGTGATGGCGATTTCTGTACACATGCCAGTGGAAGTAAACGCGCAAGATGACAGGGGTTGTCCTCCTGTCAGCCATACGGAACACGAGACGAGGCTGGGTAATTGCAGAAGGTTACGCTGTGAAAGTGACCCACTTGATACGGCTAACCTTCTCTTTGTGACTCAAAGCAGCGCAGGAAGACGCGCTGCCGAAGAAGAAGCGAGAAGGCCGAGGGGAGCGGCCGGGGCGACAGAAAGGGAAAACGGCGATGGCGCGATTAGCGCGGCCCTGCCAAACAAGCGTCTCTTCGGATGGGTATAAAAGCCTTTGGCCGAGCCCTATGGAGGACATTCGAGGCCTTTCCGTCGCGGACACACCTGAAGAGAGAACACGCCCACTCGATCATGGTGAGTGGGGTCTCACGTATACCACGCGGAACTCTTTTTACGGCGCTTCTAAGGTGAACGTCGCGTTACGCTTTAAAGTCTACCAGACTTTTAGCACGTGGCTTAAGATTCGGTTGACGACTCACCGTCACCGCTTGTATGAAAACCTTTCCGAGAAGCTCTGCTCTGGATACAAAAAAAAAAAAGTTTGGTATCGCATATGATTCCATAGATTTAAAAAATGCGAACGATTACATATCGTTCATGCCAGTTCGTATAAAATAGAAAGGACTTTACAGAGACAATATGATTGATTAGGCGAGTTGGTGATACATGATTGCTTTGAAATAAGAGCTCAATACTTAGACTCGGACAGTAATACAGGGAGAAGCGCTTACTACGACTGAAAATTTATTCGGAAAACTATGAAGGGTATACTGACAGATGAAACAGTGTCATGGTACATATGATAAGACCAAATCGCTGAGAACTCCATATTGTGAGACACTTAAACGCTTCACTCTCCAACACGGTGCCTGGTCGAAAAAAATAAACTAATTTCAAAAAGCAAGCAACTTGAGTCAAGCGATGTAAGGGCAACAATACGTATTCATGCGTGTGTGAAAACGAAGGCCAAGTTTTTACTTAAATAGCTAATTCCAAACAATTGTTTCCGCTGAAATGTATTAAGGCACAGCATAAACCCCTCGAACTCGAGACTGCTGCGATTCAAGCGGAAGTGGTTCACCCTAAGAATAATTACGGGCCGGAAGACGAAATTTATTGAACTGTCGGAATAACAGTTTCTTCGCATTGTTACGGGACTTTTCTTAGAAGGTCTGGAAGTAAAAACCTTCTGACGACCATACACATGACGTCGACATGCGTGTGCACTAAATCGCAGTCGTTCAGAGCGAAGCATAAATCTTACTAAATTTGAAACTTGAAGTTGTTTCTCCCCAGTGTTACAACGTTTACTTTTTTTTTTGTTACACTCACCCGTGAAGAAGAAACAATATGTACGTCCCACTCCATCCACGCCTTCTCGCTCTGTTTTCCGTTTAGATATGCATCAAAGCCGACTAGCCCATCGATAAGCATCAACAAGGCTCAATACTGATTTCAGTTCGAAGCCACATACAGCAATGGGTGGTCTGCGAAATGAGGCCCCATTCAACAGTATTCCCGCGGCTGTGTGTGTGCGTGTATGCCTGTGCAAGCCCCGAATTGTATTTTGCGAGCTGAAATCACGCCTTCGCCATGTTTTCACACCACGAGCTCGAACGGAAGTGCCTGCAGTGTCATAAGTTTGGTTCAAGCACAGGCAGCAAGAATGTAATCAAAAGTAGCCAAGACGTTTTCTTTTGTTTTGTTTTTGCCACCACCACTGACTTGTAATGTATACCAAGCCTTGCAACCGCAGTCGCTCAGGAAGCATGTGAACAAGTGAAAAAGAAAGATGGGACCGTCGTCTCGGTTGCTTTATTGCATTATATCAGAGTTCAACAACCTTCGTCACTTGGTACATCATCTGACCCCCGCCCAAGCCTGGTTGGAACAAAGGTAGCTTCCGGTTAGAATCGTCCCCCATGTTCACACGAAGCCGGAATTGAGCCGGAACGTTGGTAATATCTACATTATTTTCAATTCGCCAACTTATTTTGGTGAAAACAGCAACTACTGTTTCTGCATTGTGTGCCTCTCAATGAACTAATGCAGTTGAATGTTAGCATCAGCCAATGTGTTTTACAAGGCTCTTCTTGAGGAGCACACTAACAGAACGTTGAACTCTCAGTTAACCTTTAAGAAACACGTACAAACAAACAAACGCTGGAATAGCGTCGAGATGCAGTTTAAGGCATGTTCACTTGAAACTGTGTAGTGAGGCCTCGTTAATGATGCACCGATAGCTGGAAAAGTTAACCGACTACTAAGAAGCTCTACTGGAATTGAAAGTTCTTTGAAATGCCCCGCCGCGGTGGTCTAGTGGCTAAGGTACTCGGCTGCTGACCCGCAGGGCGCGGGTTCGAATCCCGGCTGCGGCAGCTGCATTTCCGATGGAGGCGGAAATGTTGTAGGCCCGTGTGCTCAGATTTGGGTGCACGTTAAAGAACCCCAGGTGGTCTAAATTTCCGGAGCCCTCCACTACGGCGTCTCTCATAATCATATAGTGATTTTGGGACGTTAAACCCCACATATCAATCAATCAAAGTTCTTTGAAATGGGATAAACATCGGTGAGAAAGAGTACATAGAAATTCAAGAAACGCTATACCTCCCACACGACTACTATAATGTTCGCTCTTTTACATGCGTTATATTATTTCGCATACCTTCTCAGAGAACACTCAAGCGCGAACGTGACCTGAGCAGATGCGAGGAAAAGTCAGTAAAAGTGGCACATTTATGTCGTAGTGTGGTCGACAGCAACTTAATTTAATGCTAAATACCTGTCGATGTGATAGCTAAAACAGTATATTGAAAACAGCAATCACAAATCATCCTGTTGGCCCAAAGAAAGAAATGCAGGCTTATCTTGAGACATTGTCTTGAGATAAACAGGTCACCACCTATATTCAACAAGCGGTACAGGGCGAGCTTGTAAGCCTGGATAGTTGAAAAATTGGTGCAGCGTATAAATAAAGCCTTCGCCTTAAATTATTTGGCAGCGCTGGTTCAGAACTTGTTCTCCTTATGGTGAATCATTGCCCAATTGGTCCAACAATGTGCTTATAATGATAAGGATAATAAACTGATGGTTTAACGTTTCAAAAACAAGAAATCCTTGTAAGGGATGCATGCCCTAGTGGAGGGCTCTGGAAATTTCGACACCTCGTGTTCCTTAAAGTGCACCTAAATATAAGCACACGGGCTTATAGCATTTTTGCCTCCACCGGAAATTCCAGCACTGCGGTCGAGATTCGATCCCGCAACCTTCGAATCAGCGGCGCCGAGCACCCTAAACACTCGACCGCCGTGGCGGGTCAGCTGGAATGTTTCAGCTAACACGGCGAGAAGATTGACGATGCGTAATGGCAATTGAGGAATCGGGGAGTGTCCATGTTTACAAGCAATCCAAAGGGTTGTATCATGCAGTGCCGGAGGAATAACACCGTGCACGTCACAAATCCTACGCACTCAATTAAGGTCACTTGCGGCATTACATTGAAAGATCAAAGTCACCTCCTGATTGTTCGCTCGCACTTAGAGCACAATGGCCCCGCGCCATTGAGTGCCGACATTTACGCTTCTTTATATACACAGTTACACCAACTCACGTGCGGTCTGACGCCAAGTTCTGACGATAATCCGCGTATCAATACGATTCTCGGCAGGAGTTATACTGAACTGTGCGAACAAACGCTTCGAACAAATGCGAACAAATCCTCACTGCAGGCGAAGTTTTTAAACAGCTGTGCCAAAGGAACAAAGTCCAAGTTGCAAACACAAGACAAGACACCTTCATCTCTGGAGAGCCATAGGGAAAGAAACCGGTACGTAAGACTGTATACACACACGTTATTATAGAAAATCATCGGATTCATAACGCGAAATATCGCCCTTGGAAGAGTAACACTCGAATAATATACGGCCACTTTGCTCGGTCCAGCCATAAGAGAGGCCAGTTGCATTAAAACATGACAGGTACATTAAGAAAGGACAAAGAAGTGTGTGCGAACATGCGGTCATGTATGTGGCAACTAGTGAGGTGAAGGTGTCCTTGATGTTTCCACAGGTGTTAGCTATTCTCCTTCTGGATAATTGAATGCCCCGCGACTGTCATTCCAGCCCTTTATTTATCTTGACTTGTTTCTCCATTCTCCATGCTCGGCTGCTTCTTCAGCTGACTTCACTTATTCCAAAAACGCCGTTAACAATGCTCATAGGCACTCTCACGTTAATGAAAGTGAATTTTCCGCAGGACTTCACTGTGTACCTGCATAGCTCTAGGTTGCTTGTTGTTGATAGCATACAGGAAAAACTACCTCCAAGTGAGATGTACTGAATGATGGGTGCGATAACTGTTGATTCGCACGTTTCCTAACGATCATTCAGCACAAATTGCTCACCGTTCTACCACGCTGTCTCGTTAATATGACAGTGCTTTTTTTTAAAGACCATGTCTGGAATAACAGCAGGCACTGCGATGGGCTTTCATCCACTTTTTTCAGAGTAGAGAGTGTCAATAAAAAAACACTGGGATAACACACTGGGTAATATATATATATATATATATATATATATATATATATATATAGATATATATATATATATATAATATATATATATATATATATATATATATATATATATATATAGCTGTACAGCAGTAAACCTTTAGTACGATACCAAGAGGTATTGAAAACACGAGTGTTCTACAGATTAACAAAACTAATAAGTAGTCCCGCCACGGTGGTCCAGTGACTAAGGTACTCGGCTGCAGACCCGCTGGTCGCGGGATCAAATCCCGGCTGCGGCGGCTGCATTTCCGATGGAGGCGAGAATGCTGTAGGTCCGTGTGCTCAGATTTGGCCACACGTTAAAGAACCCCAGGTGGTCAAAATTTCCGCAGCCCTCCGCCACGGCGTCTCTCATAATCAAATGGTGATTTTGGTACGTTAAACCCCACATGTCAATCAAAACTAATATGTAAATGCTGCAATCCATGGAGAGCGAAGATTCACATCAAATCCCCTAACATTATTGTTGCGTGTTCGGGAACACAATTGAGGAAACACTTTTACCCGCTCACCTCTGATCGGAGAGATGATGAGCTACTATTTCTATCCCGTAATGAACGTCTACAGGATATATGCAGGTGTCGCCACTTCCGCCTGACTACGCTCGGAGGGCTTGGGTCATCGCTTGTTAGAAACAAGTCTAGCGCCGACTGCAGTCCTTGCATTTACGGGCCTGCAGAACGGTGCGCTCTGTGTAGCCCCTACATACGTGCAAGAAGAAGGCACGCTTAAGCGGCCAGCGCGAATACCGTTAAAACGAAGCAAGATGGATTATCTAGCGGCTACTCAAGTCTGTGCGATACGGAAGTTACTTTCTTTAGCGTACTACGCTACAGGAACGCATAAGTTTTCGCGGCACAACAAGCCGGTATACATTTCTCAAGGGACACATCCGCGAAGTCTCTCTAGCGGTGGGAAACAGGTGACTGCACTGAACTGGCTTTGTAGGGTATTATGCGCACTATACCCACGCGTTTTCGTTTTTCTAAAGGTCGGGCACTCGTCAGCGATGCGGCGGGCCCCACAATTGGCAACTTGTCGTCCGCCGCCGTATTGTGCTGGCTGCGAGAGAACGAAGCGCGTCCCGTGAGAGCGCTTCCGCTCTGGCTGGCTCGTAACCTGTTCCTCGCGACCGCATTCTCGCCCTCGCTTCCGCAAGCGCAAAAAAGAGGCCACCGCCGCTGCGCCTCTGCAGGAGCGGCGGACTTTTTGTACGCTCTGCTAGTGCCGCGGTTATGACAGCACTGTCGATAAGGTGAGTGCTGCCTTGACCATCACTCACAGCGCGTTCGGTTTATTTGAAGGGGAGCCCGCATGTTTTCGTCACACGTTTGCGAGCGAAATGACTCGACTCATAGCGGCTGTATCATGACTTGCAAATCAAAGTGGTTATTTTACATCCTTGAGAAGTCGGTCCCCGCTCCGACATCAGTGCGCACTACGGCATTTTTTTTTTGACAGCTTGCGTGATGCAATGGCACCTCTGAAAGAGAAGTTTTCGTTTGCGACGTTTATGCTTTGTGAGTTAGCCGGCACGTAGTCACCAACCTGAATCGTAGACACTCTAAAGTAACGTAGACACAATCCTGACGTCTTTAATCTTGGTGAATCTTAGCGTCACTTCGAGAAAAAAAAAAAACCCGCCGTAATTGAATGGTATCACGCTACGGTAGTACAGCGCTTGAAAGCCACGCAAGCTCTAACTTCGGCGACGCGCTCTTTCTGAGCCAGAGCTGCGGGAAAAAAAGTAGGTGGCTCCACATCGCCCAGAGCTGTGACAGACCAGGTAACTTCGCTTGCAAGTGACCTAAAGCAAAACAACAGGCAACTCTATACGGCACCGTACTTTACAGTCAAAGATGTGCCCCATTCAGACAAAACGAACTTCCTCGCTACGCTACTTAAAACGCCACTCGCGTAAGCAGCCAGCACAGCCCTACAACAGAGCGAAGGCGGCAAGGTGCCCAACAGCCGCCTGTGCACGCCCCGCAAGCATATCTTTCCGTGACGTCGACAATACCCGGGGAACACGTTGAATTGATGTCGCAAGAAGCCCGAGCATCTACCTAAACGTATCACGCTGACGGTGAAGCCACGCGCGGCTGTCAATAAAAATTACCATTTCCACGTCCGAACCGTATCAATACTTGTCTAATATGATCGCTACTGAAACGTGGTCAGAGGGACTAATATACGAATCGAAACGCAGAGAACAATGCAAATGGTATATGGTTGTGTCGACGTTAGAAACATAGGATGTATCGTGCGTACTTACAATGTGCTCACCAGGAGGACCTTAAGAAAAAAAAACGATACAAGGTTGTCTCAGCTTCGAAAGAGAAAGAATAAGTTTTATTTCCTCGATGAGGTCGCACACGCCCAAATTCGCATCATTTGACGTGGACTTGGGCTCGTAGCCCAACCCTGCTGACCAGCTGTACCTGCTCTTCGCTCCTTAGGCCATCTCTTGTTGACGCTGTTTGTAGATTCGCGCCTGATATGTCCCCGGATGAGTTTCACGTCGTGCCTTAGAGGTATTTTCAGTCGGTTCAGTCTCACGACTTCCTTTCTGGTGAGTTGCACTGTGTTGCTGCGTATTATTAAAATGATAACAATGCAGTTCCTTCATCTTTCATATGATGTCCACTACTTCTTCGAGTCTTCACTGCTACAGCAGCTGAAAAACATCTGACCATGGCAGTGAACAGATTCGCGAAGAGTAAACAAAAGCAATGGACCTGAACAGGATGCTACTCGAAGCTGATGTTCGCAACGTTAAACACGAGCGACCTCCTTAGTTAAGCGACTCGGGTTAGTAAAGTCGCTTGAAGTTACAAGGCATATTACGCTTTCTTTTCAAGCTCAAAGCAACAGAAGGTCAGAAAGGGAGGGACACAACACGCGCGATTTCTTCTTTAACGATGACTCATTTCATAAGAATACGCAGTTTAGGTAATACCACCGTATACGTAGTGTGTTGAAAAATACACCGAACTTTTGAAGTAACCTCCAGCCGGTATAGATGAAGCGCCTTGCGGCTACGCAGCACGTGCGGCGGTATACGCTTATACAGCATAATGCAATTTGTCGCGTTTAGCTCTGGCCTTTACTCGGCGAGCAAAAGCCGCATGAGTGAGAACGTGCACATTCTGCTCCTAGGATCAGCGCCACCGTTATTATGAAAGATGCTGAGCAACAACGTGTGCATGTGTGAAGTTGGCCACAAACTTCACAACGCTTGGCATAGCAGATGACGAGACGTGTCACGTCTAACCGCACTGCTCAGATACGACATGCATGCGTACGCAACTTTCACGAGTACGTCCCCTACAACCTATAGAACAGCGGCAGCAGGGCGTAAGTGCAGAGGGGCTCTGTGTCAACTGAAAGTCTCGCCGAGATGTGAGAAAATGGTTCCGAATGTTTAACGAACTACAGCCATTCAATTTTGCACGGTCTGGGCTGTTGCTCCATCCTGGTGGAACTATGAAATGGTGTCCCCCTCCATCACAATCTGCCTCCCATCGACCACTACAAGCTAGCGTGGCGGCTCATTATTTTTATTAGAAACTTGTAATTTCAATCTGTGCCAACTTCGTAGTTATTTATTAGATGTCAAAAGATGCGAGTTCAAAGACTTAGTGATTTGTACTTAAACGCTGGTGCGACCAAGACGCGAGCTTGTAGGTTACAGTAACTCGATCGGTGGTGACGGTTAAACTATACGTGCACTTTAATCATGGATATACAAAGGTGTAAACCACAGGCAGACAATCAAATTTGTACACCTTGAACCCTGTCAAAGATGACAACATGGGATATGAAAGCACCCAGGGCATGTCATAGGCGTGCGCACGTGGACAGGGGAGGGCATGAGCAAGGAGGCGGCTGCTCTCTATAGTAACCTTAAGAGAGGATGCAACGTCTGCCCCATACATTGGGTTAATATGGAGGGAGGGGGGGAAGGGACTGGGACGATCCGTCGTTTACTCTCTTTAGGGGAGGGAAACCGTACGCACACCTATGCATGCGGCACAACCCATCTGACTAAAAGCCCAATTTTCAAACATTGATGTGCACGATTTGCTCCCTGTTAAACAAATATGCTGCTACACACGAGATCAACGTGCGGAAGGTGTGCGCTGCGCGCAAATTGAAATTTGTAGTGTGAAACTTTCTACAGTTTCCTGAGTAATATATTCACGCAACACAACTGAAACGAAAGTTATTTGCAAAACCTAATTCTACGCGTTTCAATGAATGCTCGCAATAAACACAGCGTTTCTTGCGTCGTCTGAGATTGCGCGCTTCTAGTCGCAAAGCCCTGTCCCTGATTGATTTGGTTGCAGAAGGCGTAACAACGTAGTTCGTTGTCCATTCAGTGCATATGTAAGCCTTTCTAGCTAAGCTATCACACTAACATTAAGTTATGCGAAGAAACACACAAGGCGGTCCAGCAACCTCAAGTGAGTTCCACAACCACTACTTACCTGCACCAGCCAGGTGAGTAGTAGTTGCGAACTCGCCACACGTTGTGTGGCGAGTCGCAAGTTTACGTGTTTTTAGGCGCAGAGCCGCGATGGTGATGTGATCTCCGTTAACGGCATCAGCGGCGCAGATTCGATTCGTGGCCTACACCACCGCAAGGTTTTCAATGGAAAAAAAAATGTAATGCTCAATGATGAATAATGCTTCACTTCGTTAAACCTCTTGCTTCCCAAAGGGGCTCAAGGTGGAGAAAGCTTTAGATAAATATAAAAAGCATGCAAATTTGTCTGTTCTTGTAAGAACGAACTATATATGACGAGCTGAGTGACATCGGGTGCCCCCTTGTTAAAACGTACTGAATAGTGGTTAAAATAGAACGTCTTTCTTAAAATGTACTTGATATTTAACGTCACAATAATGAATGTCCTTAAATACACGTGCTGCGACTGCTTTGGCCAGTAGTCAAGCATTGTTTTGTGCTTCATGCGTGCCTTGAGAGCAGAAATCGCTAAATAGTTTTCTGTGCTCAAATTTACGAGTTGGCACAGGAAGTGCGAGGAGCAGCATAACTACAGGAAGCGGGAAATTGCATGTGGATCTGGAGTGAGAGGCCACTGTAACGCCCATAGGTGTGGCGCTATATGTATTTTCTAATGACCGTGGGTGTTTGGACATCAGTAAGTCAGAACATACTATTGCCAGAATTCAGCAACATTAGGAAGTCAGAAGGGTTTTCAAGGTGCTCACAGCGATCATTTTGATAACAAGACACAGCGATAAGCTCTATATGTAAGCGGCAGGTTTCGTCTTAGTTTCTGTAGCAGCACATGAAGTTAAAGCTACGTGAGCGCTTGTTATCGCAACACTTGGATCCATGCAGCGACCGGAAACCTCTCTGCCCGCATGCCCATTTATATCCCTCTGTTCCCTCGCAGCGTACTCTCCTCACGCTGCTGCCTTCCCTGGTGGGCGTTGTCCTGGCGGGCAACATTGGCGCTGGCGGAGGAGGCCACTCGGGCGGGGAATTCACCAGCGGAGCCATTGGCGGCTACAGACCTGCTGGCTATGGTTCTCCTGCTGGCGGCTACAGCGGTCGCGGCATCAGCGGCCATCACGCTGGCGGCTACGGCGGCGGTCTCGGAGGCACCAGCACTGCTGCGGGAGGCTCTGCAAAGGCGCCTCATGGAGACGGCTACTTAGCCAGCGGCTACGGCGTAGGCAGCCACCACGCTGGCTACTCCGCAGGCGGAGGCACTGCACCCATCGGAAGACACAGTGGAGCTTCTAACTACGGTTCAGCTGGTGGAAGTATTAGTGGCTATAGCGGTGACGGTACCCTCAGCAACTACGGCGGAGCCCAGGGTGGCTTTCCAGAAAACGTAAAAGTTATCAAGCACTCCGGCAACCATTATGATGGCGCATCGTTCTCAGACGCTGCTGGGCCAACTGGTGGCCAGTACGGTGGCGCGTCGCCCTCAGGTGTTGCTGGGCCAAGCGGTGGTTTTAGAGGTGTCAGGCTTACCGGAGGTAACGATGGAGGGATCACCGGTGCTGGACTCATTGGGGCGGGGTATAATGGTGGACACACGGGCAACACGGTAACCATACCGGCAAAGGTGATCGTCCTGAAAATCCCAATATCCGACAGTGAGGCTGGAGGATTTTCTCGCTTTGCCGGCAGCTATCCGGGCGGAGAATATGGACAATCCAGAAACGCGCCATCACCTACTGGATATGCGAGCGTGAGCACGTCTCCTGACGGCAGATATAACCAAGGATATGGATTGTCGAGCGGTGGACACCATAGTGGCAGCGGCTTTGGAGGTGGTACAGAAAAGCCCCGTTACGGAGCTTTCTCTGGAGGTTCAGGAAGAACCTATTCCGGTAAGGGAGTGCCTTACGAAGGACATCATGGTGGATTCACTGGGAAAAACGTTTATGGAAGACCTGGAGGAATTGCCGGAAGTTACGGAGGTGGACCCACCGAGAGCCATGGTGGCAGCTACGCTGGAGCAAGGAGCTTTTCAGGATCGGATGTGCACGGGCTCGGTAAAGGTGCCTTTGGTGGCATGCAGCACGGCTACGGAGGAAGTGGCTATGGTGTTTCCAAATATGGTGGCAACTACGGTGTTGCAAAGGGTGGCTACTGGTGAAGAACTCATTCGTTTTTACCCTGAGCTCTAAGTGCACCGCTTTATCAGCGAACTGACTCGCCAGTGATTGTGCTTTTCAAGTGCGAAAGATGGGGCGGACGCTCTTAAGAAGTCGCGTGCATATCGAAGAACAACGTTCTTGTTCCATACATTTACCATGTGAGAGTCTATTTCATAAATAGAAATCATTTGTAGAATCACTACCGCGCATGCATCAATATCCCAAGTAATGAGGAGTAACAAGGTGTTTTATAAAGAAACAGGTGTGGCGACTGGTGTAGCTGTAAATCCTGCGCTAAATGCATCTTCACTAATTTGAAACGTGATAAAGCGCGTAGCAGTGACATCCACTGATTCCCATTCGTGGAGTTACCGCTACTCCGTTACAAAACCACCAACGACGTCAGTGTTTGAGGAAAGCATAGACGGCTTGCCCGGCACCAGTACAGTAGCCTGTTAGAAGAATTCACTAACTCGCCGCGCGACATGTAGGTTGTTTTTCGCTGTGCTTTATTCGCTTGCTTGGTATGGCGGTTGAAATGAATATCGTTGGCAACGAGTACCGTCAGACACGGAGTTTCCTAAAATTAACTAAAGAGGACTCCGGTGCTACGATCGTTCATGTTTTGATGGGTAGCACACAAATTGGGCTAGTCTTCGTGCTCGCAGGCTTCAAACGTACTTGTGGCTTTGTCTATGATTATGTTAAAAAAAACCAAACCTTTGTGAACCACATAACCCGATTTAAATTGATTAAAAAATTTAAATTGGTTTAAAAGGTTAACGTGGTGAAGTACAACTGCTACACATTTGCTGTTTGACGTTTCGTCACTAAGCTGCTCCAAGCCACGCGATGCCAAACGGAGCCGGAAATACGGAGCCTAGGCAAACTTGTATACTACCGATCATTATCATGCTCGCTGAAGCGCCGTGCGTTGCAGCCATAGACACTAGCTGCAGAGTTGCCCCTAGTGTAGTTATAGAAAAATATGCCGTAAGGTTGTTTTCCCGTTTAGATGTAGCGACGAAGTGCTGTAAAAGTGCTGGCGAGATGAGCAATCACGCCCTTGGTGGGGTGGTGGCGCCCTCTGCCGCACAGCTAAGGTGTCAGCCGCATGTTTAGGAAGCGTTTTTAGATAATTTCAGCGAATTAAGGCGATTACTTTTAGATATTTGAATGAATTATTGTTATTGCACATAGTGTTTATTTTAACACGGTTTTCAAGCATTCCTACCCTTGATTTAGGCCTGAATTGAGCATGGGATTGTGAGAGTGATCACGCAACAGCAGATCTACGAATAAGCCGGGCCACTCAAATGCAACGCACCTAAAAACTCAGCAATATTGCTTGTTGGATTGATTACTTCTCACCGCTTCAAGCTTTCGTTTTTGCTCTTTCTCGTAAAAGAGAGATCTGGTATCCAAAAATGATCATCCGCACAAGCTGCGTGCGAGTGTCTGAATGCTTAATTTATCTACGAGCGAATAAAAAAAAAGTCCTCACCCCGCTTTCGTATATATTTTGTATCGGTGGTTCTTTGGGGTGCACGAGAAGCTTCATTTGCTTGCAAGACCCAATTAGGCGCATCTGGACTTATTCAGTAGGGCGCACGTTAAAGAACCCCAGGTGGTCGAAATTTCCGGAGCCCTCCATTACGGCATCTCTCATAATCGTATGGTGCTTTTGGGACGTTAAACCCTACATATTAATTAATCAATCAATCAATCAATCAATCAATCAATCAATCAGTAGATACAGTGCATGATGCCAACAGTAATCAAGCGTGAGGGTTGTGCTTCGCAGTTCGACTGGCCATCATCACTGGACCTAAACTGAATTACAGGAACAGAGACAACTGAAAGAAACAGTTTACGAGATACGTAGCATGTGGCCTATGGCAGCAAACAATTATTAATGTATATTTTCACGCATTGCATACACAATACCTTAATGCAAAGTCAGGGAAAGAAGTAACGCAACTATAATATTATATTACAACAAAAACGTTCATAAATAGTGTACTCGCCCCATATTTTCTATACAACTAAGTTTAAGGCTGAAAACGATAATTCAATTTTCGTGACTAATTCCCGGGAACTCAGTACACTTTATAGAAGAAACAAATTGTTCCGAGGTTAAACTTTGTGTTAGGACATGGCATATACTGATGCTATGTATATTTAGCGATGCCACTGGCAGTATTTGGTTGCATATGGGCGAAAGCACGCAAAAGTGTGCCACCAACATGTGCTTTCGATTGAAAAGCCGACACCGGCACATCCGAGTAGAACGCAAATGCCGAAAGTAAGCGGAAATGTAGTCGACGAGTGTTACAATGTGGGCTTGCTGGTGAGACATTTAAGCTGCAGCTTTGACGTAGCGCGGACACGGACACGAAAAGCCACGTGAGGACACCACGTGTGGTCCGTGCGGTGTCCGTACGTGTCCTCTCTTGACCGTGTCTCGTTTCGTGCTGCATCAAGACCGATCGAGTATAATACGAAAGGTCGAGTTGCTAAATAAGTTATCCACGCATTCTCACGAATGGCGTCATCTAATGGCATCGTAACGACCGTATTCCGTTTAACGAGCTATTTTTTGCTCAATAATTTCTGATTAATATAATTCGCTTTCTGCCCTGAGAAGACGTGTTTGCTACTGAAAAAAAAAGTTAATGGCAAGTGCGGAGTGGTAATGGGGCAGTAACCAAGCAGTCTTGCTTTAATAAAGTTATCTTTCCCAAACTAAAGCATGGGCAAAACTAGCACATGACTATGGGTCGTCACATTGTCTGCACACTTTGTAAAAAATAGATAAATAAATTCAATTCAGTTCAATTCAACTCAGTGCGACATTGTGTAAGTTTATTGTTGTGCGTTACCAAACAGCTGAACATCTGTCGTTTTCCTTTCAGCAGCTCGTGCTGCTTATTGAAAGTCCTAAGGCTAACTCTCATGTCGCATCTGTTTCTTACTTCCATTACTAAGCCTGTGAGATTAGCAATGGATAAAAGAGATACGCAAGGTCGACTATCTTCTTGTTCTTCGAAAAGGTTCTTAACTAACTGGGTTGCTTTACGTGCAATGCGGCGGAACAGCATGAAACTCTTTGTCCTGTCCTTCTGCTGTGTCGCCTGTCGCAGTGGCCATAATGTTGTGGTTGCTTTCTACGACGACGTTTTAGCCTGAGCTAATCTGTAACAATTTCTATGCTATATAGTAAGCTCAATGTTATAGCGCCAAGACAATAAAGTTATTCAGCATGATGCTGACAAGATACTCTCGAAGAAGATTACTGATTAGCTGAGGAACACACTCGCTAATCAATAATCTGACCCCTCACGCTCCGATGACGACAACGACGACGATGTAGGACCCACCGAATGGCCTTCGCCTTCAAGTCGTCTTAGATGAACGAACAAGAAACGCCGTGGGTTTTTCTTTTTTACTTATTTCTAATACATCAAAAGCCTTTTCTTCACCAAATATTGCAGCATACCACCTCATTTTACGTTCTGCTGAATGTGTCCCTTCTCTCCCAAGTTGCGCTGTGCTCCATAAGCAGGTGACCAGTGGGAGGAGGAGGAGGAAAGTTTAAGTGGAAGGACAGGGAGGTTAGCCAGTTCTTAGACCGGCTGGCTACCCTGTGCTGGGGAAAGGGGTGAGGGGAATAAAAGATGATAAAAAGAAAAGTTGCGAATAAAGAGAGAGAGAGAAATTACAAAAAAATTAGTGACAGAGGAAAGGCAACATCAAAGAGTACAAGACACTAAAGTCTGTCTCTGAGGCCAGTTGTCCGCAAAAAGCGTAGCAGAGCTTTCAAAGCCTTCTGGGCTGAAGATGGGCTCGGCCAATGACCCAGAATCCTTTGTTCCGACAAAGGCCGATCATCCAGTCTATCCAGAGCTGCAGTCAGCTCTTGTCTTGGCGCGTTGAAATGGGTGCACTCACATAGAAGTGGCGCGATGGTTTCTTCGCAGCTGCAGTACGTGCATGTAGAACTGGCCTTTTCAATGAGATAAGAGTATGCGTTCGTGAAGGCTACTCCAAGCCACAGGCGGCATAGAAGAGTCTCCTCAGCTCGAGATATTCTGAGGGAAGAAGAAGCTGCAGATCGGGATACAAGTTATGCAGGCGCGCGTTTGTGAATTCTGTTGAGCTCCATTGTACCAGTGTGAGATCACGTGCCAGCGAACGAAGTCTTGTAGCTGCGTCGGTTCTTGAGAACGGGATAGCTGTGCATTGGGTACCGTCGTGTGCAGATCTAGCAGCCTCATCTGCGCGTTCTTTGCCATATATACCGCAATGACCTGGTATCCACTGATACACTATGTTGTGCTGTTTCTCGATGGCCTGGTGATGAACAAGCCTTATTTCAGCTACTAACTGTTCATCAGGTCCATGGCGAAAGGGTGACATAAGGCATTGAAGAGCCGCCTTCGAGTCCGAGAAGATAGACCAAGCTCCCGAAGGTTTTCAACTATAAACTCCAGAGCTGCACGTATGGCGGCGAGTGGCCATGTTTTTGTACATATGGGCTTCAATGCAGGCTCCACTGCCAGTTACACTGTTGCATCTCTTCCTGTTCAATTATTTATAGGCGCTGCTTAGTTTGTTGCGCCACGCGTGCCGTGCGCCAGCATTCCCATACAGGCTGCACTTATCAGCCAAAATGGCGGTGTCGTGCGCGAAAACCCCGGCGCACCTGTAGCAACTGAAGAGTCGAGTGTCGCGCTACTACGCACGTACATAGATGCGCGTCCCATTCTTGGCATGGAGGAAGGGGACAGTTAGGAGACAGCATTGTGCAATGAGAAAGAAAGAAAGAAGGAAAGAAAGAAAAATAAATAAATAAATAAATAAAGAAAGAAAGAAGGAAAGAAAGAAAGAAAGACCTGCACATTGATTGATATGTGGGGTTTAACGTCCCAAAACCACCATATGATTATGAGAAACGCCGTAGGGGAGGGCTCCGGAAATTCCGACCACCTGGGGTTCTTTAACGTGCACCCAAATCTGAGCACACGGGCCTACAACATTTCCGCCTCCATCGGAAATGCAGCAGCCGCAGCCGGGATTTGAACCCGTGCCCTGCGGGTCAGCAGCCCAGTACCCACCGCGGCGCGAAAAGACCTGCACAGGCCGACCTACTCTTGCCACCATTTCTCGGATGTGACAATGGCTACCGAGTTTTTC